CCTCGCTCAGCCAGTGAGCGGGAACCGGTCTGTATGTGGGATCCGAACCCGCGGGCGGGAGCACCGCCGCGCTTCCCAAGTGGCGCACTTATCCAGTGCGCCACCGGGCCGGCCCTCTCTGTATCTTTATTTATTTATTTATTTATTTATTTTTTAAAAAGATGACCGGTAAGGGGATCTTAACCCTTGACTTGGTGTTGTCAGCACCACGCTCTCCCAAGTGAGCAAACCGGCCATCCCTATATGGGATCTGAACCCGTGGCCTTGGTGTTATCAGCACCACACTCTCCCGAGTGAGCCACGGGCCGGCCCAGATCTCTGTATCTTCACAAGGTAAAGGATGTTTTTATTTTTGCCAGTGCTTAACTCTAAGAGAAACTGGAAATATTGACAAAATATTTGGCAGTAGCGTCTATTTCTCCACCTCGGTGATTTTCATACATTTTACTTACAAGGAGAGCACAGACAGAGTGAGGTCAACATGGATAGAATCTCTGAGTTTATATACCAAACACACATACTTTATTCCTCACCTCAGATATCGCAGCTGTTCATCTGACTTGAGAATTTCTTTTCCACTAATCCCTTTCAGTCTCAGAATATTTGAGGGTCTTCTCCGTATCTGGTAATTTATTTCATGATCCTTGGAGATGTCATAATCAGAAATCACTCTCCATCATTTTAACTAAAGCCTCATTTTATTTGAGATAATAAAATTAATACCTACATAATAATTAAAGGAGTTATCAAACAGATACTCAAACTTTAGATAACTAAGAGTCCAGACCATATTTCATCTTGTGCCTTAGCAATGAGCAAATTCTTTGGGCTTAAGGAGGAATCAGTTTTCAGATGTTCTAAGAAAGCCTTGTGTCTCTTTCTTCCTCAACAGTAAAACCAATACAATATGCAAGAAATGTGCTCAGAATGTGCAGTTATATGGAACAGTAAGTAGTATTCCTTTGAACCTAACAATGAGTACTTGGGTCTCTTGGAACCTTACCTTCTGTGCACTATTAATGTCATTACCATATTTTTATTGGAAGAACTGGTTATGTGTAATATATCTAGCATTTCATCTTTTGAACTTAGGTAGTACTTATTGTTAAGAGTTCTGTGTTTATGGTTTCTCTGCATCCATTTTCTTTTGTAATTAGTTAATATAGTATAATACATTAAAAGATTTTCTGATGTTAAATCATCAAAAAAAAAAAAAAAAAGAGTTCTGTGTTTATAGTCACTGTGCCGGGATTAAAATTATATATTATAATTTTCCTTGAAAGTCTTCAGTGACCAGTATGGAAAGAGGAGGGGAAAGATGAATCCTATGACTTGACCTCTTTGTTTGGTAACAGTTGACTGACCATTCATTTTAATGAATTTTTTTTTTTTCCCTCTTTCTTAATGTTACGGTTCAGAATACTATGTCCTTGCAGGCATTCTCCCAACATTTTATACACTGATAATGGCAAAGAGGTTTTTTCAAAATTTTGGAAGCATTTGCTGGTTTTTCTAAAGAGCTGGTTCTGTTGAATTTCTCATAGAAGTCTCAGCATAACATTAATGGATTTTTATTGTTTTTATTTATTTTAAAATTAGTAGTCCTGTGCAGAAAAACACTTTGTATAGTGTTAAGAATTAAGCTTCGTTTGATCAGTATGAAAGCAAAATTTATGAAGTTGAGAATACATTTTTACCATGACTAATAGACTACACAGTAGGAATTATTGTTTTTAAAAATGAACTGGTATTTTATGATATACTTACTTGACCCTTTTTTTTTCTCTTTAAGCCCAAACCTTGTCAGTATTGCAACATAATTGCAGCATTTATTGGCAATAAATGCCAGCGCTGCACAAATTCAGAGAAGAAGTATGGACCACCATATTCTTGCGAACAGTGCAAGCAGCAGTGTGCATTTGACAGGAAAGATGATAGAAAGAAGGTAAATTTCTGTGTTTTTCTTGATTTATTTTTATTTCAGAGAAATTAAGGTGGGCCAATTGTGTTAAGACATAACAGAGAAAGAGTTCACAATTCTTTTTCTGGTTCTGTTATTGGATTTGAAGAAAACATTTATTCAGACTTTAATTTTAGTTATCAAATATGGACCATTATATTATAATATTTCATGAGAATCTGAATTACAATGATCAGTATCCCACATAAGTGAAATGGTGATTGGCAAAAATCTATAGAACTCTGTAAAGGAGAGATTGTGACTTAAGCAAGATAGAGTGGTTTAACCAGTTTTACTGTCTGACTCTTTAAAGTTTCTATCTGTTGGGCTGGCCCGGTGGCGCACTGGAGAGTGCGCCGCTTGGGAGCGCGGCAGCGCTCCCGCTGAGGGTTCAGCTCCCATGTGGAGACCGGTTCCCGCTCACGGGGTGGGCGCGGTGCGGGCGCAACCCCAAGGGTTGCAATCCCGTTGCCGGTCAGTAAAAAAGAAAAAAAAAGAAAAGTTTCTATCTGTTGGGCTGGCCCGGTGGCGCACTGGAGAGTGCGCCGCTTGGGAGCGCGGCAGCGCTCCCGCTGAGGGTTCAGCTCCCATGTGGAGACCGGTTCCCGCTCACGGGGTGGGCGCGGTGCGGGCGCAACACCAAGGGTTGCAATCCCGTTGCCGGTCAGTAAAAAAGAAAAAAAAAAGAAAAAAAAAGAAAAGTTTCTATCTGTTGAAGTTAAAGATCACAAGAAGATACCATTAGAGGGAAGCTATATGTGGAATGGTGGTATTTTGGTGGAACCAAAATGGTTTAGAGTTTGGTCATATTACTCTCCTGCTTGAAACCCTCCTGTAGTTTTCAGTTGCACTTAGAATAAAACCCAAACCCCTTCCATGGCCTGCAAGGCCCATACCTAGCTTTCAGTCTCATCTTTCGTCATGCTTCTTACCTCTTACCTTGCTCCAGCCATAGTGGCCACCTTTCAGTCCTTCAGACATGCAGGTCTCATTCCCACCTTTGCACTGGCTGTCCTGTTTCCTGATGTGCCCTTTTCTAGAGTGTTATAACTGGCTCCTCTTGAGGTCTCAGCTCACATGCCACGTCTTGTGTGTGTTTGTGTGTACACACATTTAGTTTTATTGTAACAAAGCACCTTGTACACTTTTTTGGTGGGGGTGAGGGCAGCTGGCTGGTGTGGGATCCAAACCCTTGACTTTGGTGTTACAAGGCTGTGCTGTAACTGAGTTAACTGGCAAGCCAACTTGTACACTTTTAACGTTTAAAGTGAGCATCATTAGATGCCACCTCTTCACAGAAACCTTTTACCAACTCCCTTAGTCACTTTTTGTCAGATCACCCTGTTTTATTGTCTTCTTAGTATGTAACTTTACAGAAAATGATCTTGTTTATTTGCTTACATGTTTGTGCACCCTACTAGAATGTGAGCTCTTTGTCCATCTTGTACTCTGCTGTATTTCCAGTGACTTGACACATAGTAAGTGCTCAATAAATATTTGTTGACTAAAAGAATGCAGTTCAGAAACTCTTTTTCAGTGTCCAGAGGTGCTTTTCAGAAGTGCTTAGGCTCTGAAGGGCTAACTCTTGCAAACCAAATTCGTTAATTTACAATGGAAGGATATAACTTTCCAGTGACCAAAATACTGTTACCTGCCAACCAGGTCACCTCTTCCCTGAATCAAGATACTGGAGAAGCTGAATTAGTAATCAGGAGGTAGCTTATGATAGTGTGCTACCCAGGTCTGGGGGACTGCACAAACTTTGTAGTCGCCCAGACCAGTATCCTATCCCACTCCTGGGGCTAGCGGAATGATCGTGGGCAAGTTACTCTCATTGGACATCAATTTCTTCATCTTTCCCAATGGTAATAACAGTAGCTACTTCACAGGGACATGGTGATATTTAATTGAGATAGGTATATAAAACACTTAATTTTGAGCCTTGTATGTAATATAACTCAATGAATGATACATGTATTATTAATTGGAATAGCTAATTTTTTATTAATCTGGTTATACTAGAATTCATTACGTTTCTGCTTTATTAGTTACAATTCTGCCTTAAGGATTTGGATATTTTTAGACATCCTCAGTCACCTGTTCATAGTCATAAGTAGATGCTTGATTAGAGCGGAGCCTTATAACACCAAGGTCATGGGTTCAGATCCTCATACCAGCCAGCCACCAAAAAAAAAAAAAAAAAACCAACAGAAAACAAAACAAACAAACAAAAACTTTAATAGAGGAGTGCTAAATTTAGGAATTAAGAAGAGCAAGTGATCTGTACTCATAATGTGTGGGTTGAAATCTTGATTCTGTCACTTATTAGCTGTGTGACTTTGGGCAAGTTAATTCATCAGTGCTTCAGTCTCCTCATCTGTAAAGGAGATGGTTAGATCACAGCACTGTTACAACAGTCGTTACATGTAAAGCCCTTAGAATGTAATCTTGTCCTTGATAAGTACTTAATCAGTGTTATCTATGATTATTTGTTTTTGATGAATTCTCGGAGGATTACCTTATTTTTAAAGTTTATTTTTAAAGGAGCTATCTAAAAGTGTCCTGTTCTTCTATGTGCAATTTTTATATTCAGTGCTTTCCCTTTTTCAGTGCAGTTGCCTTGTTTTCAAACCCTTCTTTAGTGAAAGCTCTTTCCTAGGCATGGTCCTCTGGAGTGTTTTACCTTAAGGCCATATCCCATAACCATGAACTGAACCAGACTGAAGTTTGGTTTCAAAGTTCATTTATACATTCATTAACAAATAATTAAATGCTCGTCATGTGCCTAACACTGTTCAAGGTATTGTAAATACACTAATGAACTAAAGGAAGCATACTCTCTTCTCTGTGTAATTCCAACCAGTCCTGCTTTCCTGCCACCTGTACCAGACTGTCCCACAAATGGTTTTACCGTCTGAATGTGGCAGAAAGGCATCCCAGCCTCTGAGGGGTGAAGAAGCCACATTCTTCTTTTCTAACCTTGTGCCTTGCTCCCTGGTGCAGAGCTACTTCTCCTCAAAGGAATCAACTTTATCTAACAGTGCCAAGAACTTAACTGTCACAGAGCTTATATTCATGTGTATGAGAGAGAGATGGGTGAGGACAAAGAAGGAAATAAATAAATGAACGCATATTTTAGATGTAAGTGCTATGAAGAAACAGTACATGGTAGAGAGTGATTGGGAGCTTAGAATGGGCAATCAGGAGGACCTCCAAGGAGATAACATCTGAGCTGAAACTAGAATGATGAGAAGGTAGCAGCCATGGGGAGCTCTGGAGGGCTAAGATTCTGGGAATAGGGACCCGTTGTGAAAAGACCCTAAGGCACGAATGAGCTTGGTATTTGGGAAGAACAGAAAAAAGGCAGAGTGAACAAGGGGAAGAGAAAGCAAATGAGGTTAATGGCAATTAGGGGTTACATTTAAGTCAACATAGGCTGGTAAAAAATTTGGATTTTATGCTAGATAGGATGAGAAACTATTAGGTTTTAAGAAAAGAAGATGTAATCAGATTTACATTTAAAAAGCCCTTTTTGGCAGCTTTGTGGAAATGGTTTGTCAGGGCCCAAGAGTGGAAGTTGGGTGATCATCTGGGCAGCTCTTGCAGTAGTGAGAGATGAGAATGGCTTTACTAGGATGGCAGCAGTGGAATGAGAAAGCAGTGGATAGATTTAGACTGATGGACTTGCTGATGGGTTGGGAGATGGGGAGCAAAGAGGCTTTTGTGAACGAGATAAAACATACTTCAGATAGATGATAATATAGCCTACCCATGTTCAAGATGGGGCGCAGATCTAATTTCAGGAATAAGAAATGAAAACTGTAAAATTCCATAAAATATCAGCACACACCCTTCTGTGTGTAATTCCAACCAGCCCTGCTTTTCTGCTGCCTGTATCAGACTGTCCCACAAATGGTTTTACAGTCTGTGGCACAAAAGCACCCCAGCTTCTGAGGGGTGAGGAAGCCTTCTTTCCTAGCCTTGTGCCTTGCTCCCTGGTGTAGAGCCACTTCTGCTCAAAGGAATCAACTTTATCTAATTCAGACAGTGCCATGGTAGGACACCACCAGGTACTGAAGCCCAGAAAGCTACTCACCCACTGGGTTTTCTCTGGGGACAGTCTTTCTATCTGAGAGAAGGTATCCAGCATACCGTTTTATCAGCCATTTATAAGGTATTAAAACTGAAGTATGGGGGAGGATATTAGGGAGATGTTGGTCAAAATTTCAGTTAGGAGGAATAAGTTCAAAAGATCATCGTACAACATGGTGACTATAATTAATAACGGTGTATTGTATTCTTGAAAATTGCTAAGAGGGTAGATTTTATTTTTTTATTTTATTTTATTTTTTAATTTTTTTAAAAGATGACTGGTAAGGGGATCTTAACCCTTGACTTGGTGTTGTCAGCACCACGCTCAGCCAGTGAGCGAACCAGCCATCCCTATATGGGATCCGAACCCGTGGCCTTGGTGTTATCAGCACCGCACTCTCCCGAGTGAGCCACAGGCCAGCCCAAGAGGCTAGATTTTAAATCTTCTCCCCACAAAAAAAAATATGTGAGGTAGTGCTTTTGTTAATTAGCTCAATTTAGCCTTTCCATGGTGTATACATATTTCAAAATAACATATTTTACATGGTGAGTATTTATGATTTTTATTTTTCAATTAAAAGAAAACCCCAGCTGCCAAAAACAAAAAATTAAAACCCCTGAAGTAGACTTTATATTTTACCTTCTGTCTTGTCTTCTCCCTGCTGAGTTTTTCTTAATGAGCACTAAGGAGATATTTGTGTCTTTTGAAATTCTTATGGGAACTTTGCTCTGGTCTGTGTTTGCTAAGTTGGAGAAAAACAAAACAAAAAGATGCATGAAATTAGCAGCTGATATTTATTAAGTAACATTTATGCCTGGCACCGTGCTAAGTATTTTACCTACCTTATGTCACTAAATCCTTGCAACAGCCCTCTGTGGCTTGCCCAGGGTCACATGGCTCGGAAGTGGCAGAGTTAGGACGTACCCCAGAGGTTCCAGCTCCCAGTGCCCACATTCTCAGCCACTGCACTACATTCCATCTTCTTCATCTTTGTCTTCTCGTCTTTCAGGTAGATGGGAAATTGCTGTGCTGGCTGTGCACTCTTTCATACAAACGGGTCCTCCAGAAGACCAAAGAGCAGAGGAAGCACCTGAGCAGCTCTTCTCGTGCCAGCCACCAGGAGAAGGAGCAGTACAGTCGCTTGAGCAGTGGTGGCCATTATAACAGGTAACCCCAAGATACATGAAGTAAGAGCAGAGGTGCTGGTTGGTCAGATGTAGCATTCACACAATCAGTTGTGGAAGATACCATCTCATATAAATTTTCCTATTTTCTTTCTAGTTACTAGCCTGTAGGAGGAATCTCACATCATATTTTATAATACATATGTCTTCCAAGGGCCAAGGTGATTTCCATAAGGTGTCAGGATTTCCTGACTTTATACTATGTCTGAAAGTTTTGTGGAACTTACTCTACTTTCACATATAGTGTTCTCATCCTTAGAGTGGGTTATCTTCTAGAAGACTGGACATTTAGTTTTCTGAGTTTTTTTAATGCATAGTTGGCCAGGAGGTTGATAGATTTGATAGTTCTAGATTTGTCCTAGTGGGATCCAGTCAAAAAGATGTCCTTTCATTGTTGTCTTAAGCTTCCTTTCAGAATATCTGTAATATTGTTAAAAGTTCTGGCTCTGGACTGAATCCTGGTTCTGCCGATTTCTCTGTGGGGATCTTGGGCAAGTTTTTGCATCTGTAAAATGAAGAAAATAATAGTATTACCTCACAGGGTGTTGTGAAGATAAATTATAAGTACGTGCATAGTGATTAGTTTTATAACTGGCATATAGGAAGTATTCAATACAGTTTAGTTATTTTTTTGTTAATACTACCATTATGACTTTGTTCATTCAGCAAACTTATTAAGTCCTCTCATGGGCCAGGGACTCTGTTGCGAATGCAGAGATGAGTAAAAGAGTCATGCTATTCTCCAAGAGTATTCAGTCTAGTAGAGAAGACAGACTTGTAATCAAATCATTTCAGTATAATGCAATGGGCACCTCAGTGGAAACTTGAAGATACAGGCATGAGAGGCAGTAGTAATTAACTGCCTTGGGAAGTCAGGCAAGGCATGCTTGGAGAAGAGCTGGTGTTGGAGCTGGATTTTAGGATGAGTTGGAATCATCAGAGAAACAATGGGCAGAGGCATCCTAGGCTGTGGAACTAGCATTTCCAAAGACATGGAGGGCATGAGACCACAGAGAATACTGGGGAATTGTAAGTCCTTTTATATTGCTGGAGCTTATGATTGGGAGCTGGGGAATGGGAGGAAAAGGGGTCCTGCAGACCCTGACTGGAGTGGAAAATATATTGGAAGAAATAGGGGCTGGGGGCTAATTAAGGAGCTTTTTTGTAAGAGTTCAGGTAATGTTAAAACAAGAACCTCACCTGAGGCAGTGGCAGTGAAGATCAAAGAGGCAGATTCAGGAACGTACTTTGGAGGGAAATTATGAGGAACTGAGATATCTGATGAACAGCTACATGGGCGGGAGCTGAGTGAGTGAACAATAATTACCAGGTTTCTTATTTTGGTAAACAGGTAGATCCTTATCTGAGAGAGAGTACAGGAAAGGGAGAAGAGAAGAAGTTCTCTTTTGAAAAGTTGAGTTTGAAGCATCAAGAATTATTTATAGGAGCTTAGCCTAGAACCCAGAAGAGAGGTTCGGACGTGAGCCATTGGTAGACATAAGAATCACTAGGAGTAGAGATTATTTTATTTTATTTATTTATTTATTTATTTA